TGAGGGTGACTGGGGACACCTGGGAGCATGTTGGGGGTGACTGGGGACACCTGGGAGCGTGTTGGGGGTGACTGGGGACACCTGGGAGCGTGTTGGGGGTGACTGGGGACACCTGGGAGCGTGTTGGGGGTGACTGGGGGCACCTGGGAGCGTGTTGGGGGTGACTGGGGGCACCTGGGAGCAGGTTGAGGGTGACTGGGGACACCTGGGAGCGTGTTGGGGGTGACTGGGAGCACCTGGGAGCGTGTTGGGGGTGACTGGGAGCAACTCCAACCCACAGCTCTCCATCCCTTTGGGAGAGGGTGGTGAGATAGTTCCTGTGTTTACTCAGCTTTGTTCTCCTGTGCCCCTGCCACGTCCTCATGCCACTCAGAGGTTCTGTGCTGTTTGAGGGCCAAGTTCCTACACACTCTTGAGTGCTTTACCCCCTGATTTTGGGGAGCTCTGGAGCCACCCAGGTGTCCCTCACAAGCATGGAGTGTGTGTGAAGCAGAGAATGGCTGTGAGGGGATTGGTGACTTGGTCTTGTTTTGCAGACATGTCTGAAGGAGTCAGACGGCAGCGACACGGAGGATTTCTGCTCTGACCACAGCGAGGACTGTTTGTCAGAAGCAAGTTGGGAGCCTGTGGATAAGAAGGAGACTGAGGTACATGTCCTGGGATGCAGTGGGAGGGAATGTTTCTTTGGGTGGGTACAGCAGCAGGGAGTGGGCTGGAAGTGAGGCAGTGAGTCTCAGCACATCCTCTGCTGCTGGCTCTGGTGGAAGGGCAGCTGGTGGGGTGGGCTCACTCTGAGCCAGCCTGTGTGGCCCAAAGCCACCCCCAGGCTGTGCTGGGCTCTGCAGAGCTGTGGCTGGGGGGTCAGGCTGGGAGCTGATGAGGCCTGGTGTCTGCCCTAGGTCACACGGTGGGTTCCAGACCACATGGCCTCGCACTGTTACAACTGTGACTCTGAGTTCTGGCTGGCCAAACGGAGGCACCACTGCAGGTAAACTATGTCAGCACTCTGCATCTGCTCCTCTCCTCAGCCTCCCCCTCACAGAATGCCCCTTTGCCATGTCTGTTCCCTCCAGCTCCCAGGAGAAGGTTTGAGAGCTTTCTGTTATTTGCCTCATCAATCCCCTCCAAATTTCCATTTTGCATTGGTCTTTTTTCTATTTTTCCAAGGCCTTTGATCCCTCTGCTGGGCAGCAGTGCCCGTTAGTCTCTTGGTAGTGATAGCAGGTTGCTTGCATTGCAAACACAGTATAAGAAGCACATTGACAAGTCCTCAGTCAGGCTAGAGGTTCACCTTGACCTGGACCCTTTGTGCCTCCTACTGCCATGGTATTCCTAGCTGTCTTCTCACTGCTCTTCTTGCTCCTTTACAGGAACTGTGGGAATGTGTTCTGTGCTGGTTGCTGCCACCTGAAGCTGCCCATCCCTGACCAGCAGCTGTATGACCCTGTCCTCGTTTGTAACTCCTGTTATGACCACATCCAAGTGTCTCGTGCCAGGGAGCTCATGAGCCAACACCTGAAGAAACCCATTGCCACAGCTTCCAGCTGAATGCCACACCAGGGACCTGTCTAAGCCCAGCCTTTTCTCTCATGGGTTTGAAGGGTGACTCTGCCTCCAGGGTAACTGTGAAGGCCTTTGGTGCAACACTTAACCACCAAGCTGGAATGCACTGTCTGCAGCAGGTTCACTGTCAGGCTGGAGCAGAGGAGCTCAGATTGGAGAGGACAGTGTGTGTCCCCACTCTGGAACCAGTGGGCTGTGTGTTGTAGTCCTGACGACCTAGGGCTGAAGAGGGGATCACCACCTCTTCCTTTTGTGGGCTGGAAAGCAGTGTTTTCCCAGCTCTTGCCTGTGCAAAGTCCCCCCAAAGCAATAGAAAGGCATGTTTAGAACCACCTCCCCCTCCAAAGGCAGGCTGCTGTGCCAGAAGGAAGAGGGCAGGCTCCTGGTGGTCAGAAGGGCCTCAGCCTGGAGCAGATCTGTAGATTCTCTTTCCATGAGTGTGATTTGTGATCAGCTTGGTGAACAAGACTCATTAGCCATCACTAATTGATTTTCTCTTGGGTGTTGAAGAGGAATTCATTCTGGCTGAGAAGGGGCCGAGCAGCTCGTGCCCATTTCAGGCTCCGCTGGGATCGGTGAGCACACTGGACTTTGTCCCTGTCCCCAACTCTGTGGGGAGATGGGAGATTGGCTTTTCACTTCTGCTCTGCCCATCTGCTTTGTCTCTGCAGTCATGTCCCAGCCTGGTGCTAACACAGGAATGGCACCCTGATCCTCTCCTGGCATGGAAACAGAACTCGTGTTCCTGTGTTGCTCCTCCTCCCTCTTTTCTGCCCTCAGCTCTCCACTTCCTACTGCTCTTTATCCTGAAAACTTGATACCTTGAGGGTATAGGCCATAATGTGTTGTTTTACCTCCTGGAATGTGCTGTCTGGTGTATGTGAGGGTTTCAGTCCAAATGCTGCTATATATTTCTGTGCACTTAATGTAACCCGAAGAAGGGAGAATGAAGCATCGATACCAAAACGGGGTGGGAAGGACACTACGGTCTGTGCTTTTCACTTTAGGATGTACAGCCAAGCTACAGTGATTACCATGATGTGTGGCATCTGTTCAGTGGTGGAAACAATCTCTCTGACTTGCCCCAGCGCTACCTAAAATGCCTCTTGAATTGGACTTCTTGGGTTCTTTTTTGGCTCCTGTACAGTGGTCAAAGTTCAGAGTTGCCAACTTGTAATTGCCTCTCTGCTTTTTGTTTAAACTAGAGAGCAGGAATCCCAACTCATCTGAAGGACAAGGAACTGGGTTTAGAAAGGAACAAAGGTTTAGAAAGTGGGTTTCAATGGGTTTGTGAATCCCTGGATTCCTAGGGAGCATCCATCCTGCCTCCTCTGGAAGGCATCTGTGGATATCAGTGAGGAAGAAGAGTTTGGAAATGGAGCATTTCTTTGCAGATATGCAGGTTTTTTGTTCCAATAGATTCTGCACCTCAGGAGCTGAGACTTGGTATGTGGCAGGGAGGACTGTGAGGACATTGATCTGCTGACAAGGACTTGATGCTGCTGTGTCAAAAGATCTCCCAGATCTTTTGCTAATGGTTTGTCATCTCCATCAGAGGGAATGGAATAATGACCCTTTCCTGCACTTTGACTTGTCAGCCTCTGGTTTGGCACAAGCAAAGCATCCTCTGAAGACCCTGTACTTCCTTGGACTCTGCTTCTTTTCCATCCTGGGAACAACCAACATGGCTTTGGGAAGAGAAGGCACCTTGCTTCAGATTCTCCCCTGCCTTGTACCTTGCAGTCATTGCCAGCCATGGAAGAGTGACATTTGGCTGGTAGAAGAAACTGGATTTGCTCCTGTTTTGCACGTGTTGGAATGACTGCAAGTAATAAGGAAGCCAGAAACTAGGTACTCCTGGCCCTTCCTTTCAGGCCATTAGTCCAAACTGCTTTTAGCTCTCGTGAGTTTCAGCGTCACAATGTGCTGGCCAAAAACTCTCCAATCAGTTGATTAGCATTGTGACAACAAAATGTGCTGTACAACTCAATACAGTCAAATAAATCTCTATATTAGTGCTGCTGTGTTTGGGCCCTTCTTTCCTCTCTGGGAGAACATTCTGCCTCCACAGTGGTTTTCAGGCTGCTGTTCCCCACTGCCTTTTCCCCTTGTTTAAGGTGTTTTAGGGATTTACTGTCCTTTCCCACGGTCGAAATCAGGGCAGGACACAAAGCACCTCATGCTAAAGGTTATCTCTTCCCAGGATAACCTGCTCCTTCCAGCCTCTCCTGTAATGACTCAGTGAGGAGTT